AGAATTTAGGGTTCAGGGTCTAGAATTTAGGATTTAGGGTTCAGGGTTTAGAATTTAGGATTTAGGGTTCAGGGTTTAGAATGGGTTCAGGGTTTAGGGTTGAGAGCTTAGCATGAACAAAGCTGTCCACCCAAATCCTTTATGTAGATAAATCTATGAGCTATAGTCTAAACTTCTAATACCCCCTTAAGAAGCCCTTTAATGCGATCCTGTATAATCCCCCATATAACCCCCTTTAAGGAATTTAGACAATTATGGCTCATATACTCTTGATATATCCCCCATAGAATCTCTCTACAGTTCTGGCACCACACGCTTTCAGCTGTGACTCCTTCGCAGAAGGCATGACCCAGATACCTTGGGTCCTGCCCCCAACAATTAACAGTCTACTCGCAAGGTCAATATAGGAGCTTCCCAAAATTAGGGGCACCTTTTTGGGGGGTCCTAATAATAAGGATTAAAAATATCTTGGGGTCTGTATTGGGGTCGCCTTATTTAGGGAAACTTCCATAGAGTAATCATGGAAAGGAAAATGGAAACTACTATATGTCATTTAGGGTTTAGGGTTTATGGGGACGTAGTAAGTAAGTTAATGACCCCTATAACCCATATAGCAAGCCCAGTTATACCCCTTATTAACCTACTTACTACATAAGCCCCCCTGACCCTCCAAGAATGAGAGGGCTTGTAATATTGACCATATATTCTGTTCATGAGTAATTAAGTTAGGGGCCCTAGGTGGTGCAAGGTTTCTTTCATCCGTAGTTGGGTTCTAAATATTATCCAGAAGTTAATGAGGGGGGCCCAACAGCTACCTCCTCGATGGGCAGCACTCCGAGCAAGACCTCTGTCTCAGTGAGGTTCTTGGAAGCCTCATCCAACAACAGAATTAAATATCATCTTGGGATTTGGGTTTAGGGCTTAGGGGTAGCAGACAGGAAAATGGAAACTACTGTTACGTCTGGGGTTCATGGATGAAGGAGAATCAAACAGAGCAGAACATGGAAAAAATGAAATGGATCCTACCACACATAGGGCTTATATGTGGAAAAATAGATTTTGCCCCAGTGGATGGGGAATCAAATGCATAAGAAAATGGAAAATGATCGAAAATGGGAATATGTAGGCAATATCTGTTGGAACCACAGAAGCAAGGCAATGGCGCTGACTGAGCAGTTGGCATTCACACAAACCTGGCCATAGACGTTCACGTATCCTGGTAAAAGCAGCCGAAAGGCGTGCGAAGATGCAAGCCCGAAAGGCATCTGAGCTACAGCCAATATTCCTCGTGCAATCAGGATATTACCTAAACCCTAAACCTTAATACTACTAAATTGCCAAAGGGACACCTGCGTCCTTCCTAAATGGTCCCACGGCAACCCTAATATGTTGACCGTAGCTCATCTGATGGCGAGCATGCCAGCCTGTGGGTAAAGTGCCCGGTCGGAGAAAGAGCTGGCTGGCCACATTGCGGTTTCCATATCGTTCCTGCACCATGAAACTTCAACAACTTACACCTGCGAATGATCCACTGATGCAATTTGCAACATGCGGTCGTAAAAATGTGGATATTCAAAACATGTGGGCCCCAGAATATACTCCAAAACGCTCTGACGTTTCTCTGAAGAAAGGAAACCATAACTTTTTGAAACCCCCAAATGGAGTTTTCCATAAGCAGGGTGCCCAAATGCAGACCCCAACATGTATAGGTATATATATATATACATACGTACTCTTTCGTTTAGAAACCTTATTCTGAAGGCCTTCCAAAAAAGGGACCTCTATTTTTTGCGAATATACTCTACTATATTGGGGCTTATTCCCTAAACCCTAAACCCTAAACCCTAAACCCTAAACCCTAAACCCTAAACCCTATCCCCAAGTATGAAAGGCAAGGGCGCCTCACCCAAAGACTGCGAAGATGACAGGAGCGGTACATTTCTGGCCTGCCAACATCAAAGGGCTCAAAAGGTGGGATGAAGGAAGGTTTAGGGTTTAGGGTTTAGGGAATAAGCCCCAATATAGTAGAGTATATACGAGGGATCTTTTCATCCACCTACCCTCATCCCACCTTTTGAGCCCCCTGACAACAGGGTTGGCTTGGGTCACTCTGTAATTTACTTAGAGGGTCAGGGTTTCATGTAGTACTAGTGGAAAAGAGAATGGAAACAACTATATATCTGATGTACAGTAAGTACGTCAATAAGCCCTCTAACCCATCTAGTAGCCCTAGTAATCCCACTTATTCACCTTCCTAACTAGGCTCCCACTGATCCCGCCACGAACGATAATTCAACAAGGGCTGGGTTTGGGTCTAGGGGTCTAGGGTTTAGGGTCTAGGGGCTTCGGGGTCTAGGGTTTAGGGTTTAAGGTCTAGGGTTCAGGGTTGAAGGTTGGGGGAATAGGGTTGTCGATGTTAAAAATCTTGCATGACCTTAGGGCTTTCCAATTGAGCTATAGTCTAAACTCCTAGTATCCCCCTTAATAACCCCTATTGTAGTCCCCTATATAATCCCCTATACAACCCCCCTTTAAGGAGTTTAGACTATGGCTCAATTGGGACAGGCACCTTGAGAGGAATTTTCAGGAAACCAAGCCGTTTCTCAGAGGGTCTGTCCTATCTAAGGGCTTCCGGGGATCTATCTGATAAATTCCTTCTCCGAAGTACTGGTACTATATGAGCCATATATTCACCCATATAATCACCTATATGACCCTTGAAGGAGTTTAGACTATAGCTCATACAGCAAATATTGATTAGTAGGGGGTGGGAGATTTCTTGTCAGGGGGAGGCGGTTACGAACCTCTTCGGGCAAGTACTTTGCCCCCCTTGAAGTGAAGTGACACGGATAACATACTATCAAATCTCCTTTAGTGTTTAGGGTTTAGGGCACAACAGAAGTAGCATGCTGGAGTAAACTGCAGACTCCAAACTCGAGCTGCGTAGACCGCTCAGTGCTTTCAAAAAGTACCCCAGTAAGCGAGCGCATACCTGGGCCAATTCCTCTTGCTCCAGAAACCGTCCATCAGCACACTGCCTGGGGTAAGAACCGAATTGAAACTACAAAGATAATATGTGGTAGTTTCCAAAAACACAAGAACACTTATTATCGAGACCCCGAATACGGTACCGCTAGTTTGACCCCCCTATAGATGACTACTAAGCCCAAATCTCCAAATGCAAGTCACATCTCATAACTAGGAGTTTCTTTAAAGAAGCCCTGTCAAGTCCCGAACAAGGACCTCATGATCCGCGGATGGTCCCCACAAATCTGCAGGGTCCCCAAGCACCCCCTTTTGATAGAAGCACTCCCAAACCCTAAACCCTAAAGCCTAAATCCTACACCCTAAACCCACCCCCCTTTCCAACCCTCCCCCCATATGAGCTATAGTCTAAACTCCAAATATTCCCCTTACTAACCCCTATAGTGCTGCCCTATATAAACCCCAATATAGCCCCTTTAAGGAGTGAGACCCTAAACCTTAAACCCTAAATCCTAAATCCTAAGCCCTAAATCCTAAACCCTAAATCCTAAACCCTAAACCTGATATAACCCCCTTTAAGGAGTTTAGACTGTAGCTCATATAGCATCCTCACCTCCCCCAAGGCGTTGCGCAGAGATGTGTCAAAAGACCAGACAGCCCGCCTTAGTTCGAGCACTTCGAGGTCTGTGGATGGAAAGGGTTTGGTTTAGGGTTTAGGGCAATGGAAAGTAGGGGTTAAGGGTTTAGGGTTTGGGGTTTGGGGGTTTGGATGGAAAGTGGGGGTTAAGCGTTTACGACCATTGCAATGTTTCATGCGCTCCCCCACTACCCTCGTCCATCCCTAGCCCCGAGCATACCCCCCTATTTCAGGGGAGGCCATGGGGTTTAGGGTCCAGGGATATTACCCACAATAGGAGCTAGGTTGTCTCATTTTTTTGGGGGGGGAGGTGTTTAAAGCTCAGGGATATTAACCCCCAACCATGACAAATCAAATGGAAAAGAACATAAACAAATGAAATCGACACTTGTGGGGCTTTGGGGTTTACTCTGAGTTTGCTGCAACCTTGGTAAAAATTACTAGTTCATCTGATGGATTACAGACAACAGGAACCGAAATCCATGTTCAGGGACCTTCCAGAAATGCGTGAAAGCGGGTTTCTTGACTAATCAGGAGGACTTAGTCAGTACGCATCAATAACCCCCATGAGCCATGTAGCAAACCCCCGTTATCCCAATTTTTTCTACACTTACCAAGGAGAAGCCCCACAAACTAGTTCGTAAGCAAAGCTGTCTGAGTAGAGCTCGAACTGCAACAGCCATACATCTCCACAGGCACAAGTGAGTGGGAAGATGATTGAGTAAACCACACTTACCGTTCCGAATCAGTATTGCATACGCCCCTCCCTAACAAAATGAGAAATGTGTACGGATACAATGCCACTTCCCATTGTATTTTTCGTTTCTTGCCCATATGATTCTTCATTCCCCGCCCCAAGCCCTAAATCCCATGAATCCTTTAATTGTTGCAAATACCTCTAGTCGGAGGACGGTGTATCCTATTTTTGAGGTAACCTGAATGCTGACGTTCCAGTCAGTAGGATGCTGGCAGCAGCCGCAGTGGTTCCTGGCACGTCCAGTGAATGATAGCACGATGGCCATAAGCCGAACAGCTGCTCACGTAGTCGGATGCAAACTGAGCTGTTGAAGCAAAGTGTTTCTGGGGTGGGACAGCTATGACGATCTTGCACTTCTCGCGCAGCGAGACTTTGCATATTCGAATTAGGCGCCGTTCACGTCAGTCTTTACATCACCCTTTGCCGGAACATTGGTGTCTGTACAGCGAGCGCCAAGTCCGGGCTTCATGCATCGGCAAGCCTCACGGTTGCCGTACATCTGTACCAAAATGATAGAAATGCTAATAGTATAGTCGTCAACTAATAATATTTATAGCGGCACTAATGGAATAATAGCAACAATACTAGAAATACCAAAGCAGATAGTTTCATGAATAGATTTTAGAAGAACTTGTATGTCGAGGAATCCTGGATGATGATATACACGGAGCCCACAAAGCTACAGAGGCCCAGAAGTGCGAAGATACCAGCCAAGAGAGCATGGCTTACTCTCCTCCACACAGGCGCATCTCTGGCCAAAGGTGAGTTTTCCCATAAAACAAAAGGGAACACGAAGGTCATGGCAGTGAACCCTATGGCCCCGGAAAGGGCTGCCAAATCACCAATGAAGGGTATTGCAACAGCAACAAAGGTGGCCGTGGCTACCCAGGGGAACCTCACTGCCAACAAGTTTTTGAAGTTGTACTGGTCGGCGTCGCTGCCAAGTGATGGGATCATGTCTCCTACCAGGGAGAAGCCAGATTGTATGTAGATTGCGCCCAGGGCGAGGGTGTTGACAGCCAGCAGCACTTGAAGGGAGGCCAACAGTCCATCAGGAATACGTCCAGAAAAGTCATCCAGGAGGAAACTGGATATGTTTGATCCAAATGCAGCATAAGCTGCAGTTGCAATGGCAAAGTAGCATGGGACAATGACAGCGTAGGCAGCTATGAGTGCTCGGTGCATTGAAGCATGGGCACTTTCAACCGTGGCCGACCTTACTGGGTTGATGTTAAGGAACTTAAATTAAGTTACTATATTGGGAAACCCTATTACTTACTATATATACCCATTATGGTAACTTAATTTAAGTTCCTTAACAGCAAGGCAGCCTTAAGGACGCCTGTAAGTCTGGTAGGACTGCATGCCCGCCGTAAGAGAAGGCCAGCACGCCAAAGCTATCCTGGGTTGCTGTTAAAGAACTGTAAAGTTCAGTCACCATAATGGGTATATGTAGGGTGTATATATATATATACACGGTATATAGGGTATCTAGGTTTTTAGGTTTAAGCTACAATAGTGAGTATATAGAGCAGTTCGCATGGTTTCCCCAGTGTAGTAGCTTGAACTAAGTTCCTTAAAAGCAACCCAGTATCCATGACACCGAATGCAAAGGCTGCTCCATCATCGGGCCATCCGAAGTCCGCCTAAACACTCAAACCCTAAACCCTAAGCCTAAACCCTACGAACCCTAATTATATATTGATCATAATACTCGCCTCCTCATCACGGGATAGGATGCTGAGAATGCAGCTGATGAAGGTCATGATTACCTGGGTTGCTGCTATTAAGGAACTTAATTCAAGTTATGATACTGGGGACATCATATCTATTACGATATGAGTATATATGTATATACGCATGGTGGTAGGTATTTAAGGTACTATAACGCGGGGAACCTTATTTAGTCTTGCTGGTGTCATTATTATTGTTTTGTTATTGCAACACTTTTTAGGAATATTATATACACACATATATATATGTGTTATTATTAACACTTTTAGGAATATTGTATACATATATATATATGCATTATGATAACTTGAGTTAAGCTCCTTAGCACCAACCCAGTTACGAAGGCGATCACCGCAAGGCTCCCCACGAAGCTGCACTGCCACATGTGCGACAGACTTGGGCAGAGCGCGATCAAGAATGTGAAGCCACCACCTACTGGATTGCGGTTAAGCAACTTTAATTAAATTACTATAATACCTTAGGTGGACCCCCCACCCAGTAATAGCGACCATAAGGATAATAGGGATTATATTAGGGTCCTCTTATATTCTTAGTATACCACTATTACAGGGTGGGGGGGTCCTCCAAAATAATACCAATAATGATACTAATGCTGCATTGTAAAAAACGGGGTTTCCTTATTATTGCATTTAAAAAAGTTCCTTGACAGCAACCCAGCCTATGATAGTCCAACAGGAGAGATTCAGGTGGGATGCCGGTGAGAAGAGCGAGTCAAGGGCAAAGAAGGTTTGCCCAAGCGTCAGCGCTGTTAGGACCGTCACCTGGTAGACCACGATGAACTGGAAAGGACGGATCCACCATTTTGCAAAACCGTCTCCCATAATCCTATCTGCGATTTGAGAGTAAGTGCTCTCCGTTCCCTGAATCTGGATCAAAAGCCGACCAGAGTAGTACGACACAGCCGTCGAGAAAATCCACACCGCAATGCCTCCAAACCAGCCCAGGTAGCCAAACGCAAAAGGCAGGGCGGCAACGGCGACCGCACCAAGCACAGATGTCGTTGTATGATACCAGGCATGGAACCAGGTCTGCGGCTTTCGTCCTGGCCATTTATATGACAGTATACGACACTTGCAGTACTAATAATAGCATTGATAACAGCAATCTTAAGAATAATACTGATCAATCATGAAGATAGCCATTATGCAGGCACTGACAACAATAGAAACTAAAAATACGAATAATGCTGTGCGTAACAATAATAGCAATAAGAGGAATCATTTGAATCATTTCTTGCCCAGCTTCTTCCAACGGACTCGGAGCTGGAGCTCTTGCCTGATGATCCTGATGTGACCTCATTTGCAGAGCACTTGTCACTGTCATGCTAAACCCTAAACCCTCAAACCTCAAAACTAAACCCTGTCGTGTCCTCATTCGCAGAGGACTTGTCACTATCAGACGAATGGACTTCGGCGCAGTTCATCTTGCTGCAAAGCTAGAGCCCAAAAGACTGCAGGGATAAGGAGGAAGCAGGGATCCCTTTTAAAGCAATATGAACCATTGTCTAAACTCCTAGTATCCCCCTTAATAACCCTATAGTAGTCCCCTTATATAA